AGGGGTACCAGTGATCTCCCCAGGATTTTTTCTCAGGTGGGTGCAAAATTGTCATTTTCACAATCCAGGCCAAAATTGGTCAAATCATGCCAATTTTATGACTTTTCTCATTTTCAAGTGGGTGCAAATGGATTTTCAGGTGGGTGCAAGCCTATTTTCAAAACCTCAGGTGGGTGCTGTGACCACTTGCTTGAATGCTGGGGAGATCACTGGGTACTTGATTGAATGGTGAACAATACAGGGTTGTATGAATTGTGTTGTGAGTGTACCCATAGTATTAAGGATGTCACCTAAATGAAATTGAGAATGATGAACACTAACCTCTAATTTTTCTTTTCAAATGTAAAGCACGTAGCATAACTAAATGTTCCTGTGAGCTTAAGAAAAAATGAAATAATGTACTCCAAAGTGTGTTTGGGGGTGAAAATTTGAGTGTTACATGGGATCAAGTGAGGAAGTGCCACACATACTTTTGTCAAAAATTGACACTTTGGATGTCTCTTGTTAAGAAAAAATCACACTGACATATGTTTTTTTAAGTTTTGATAGCCTTTGTTGACTTATAGTATAGAATCTCAGAAAACTATATAATGGAAAAGTTTAGAAATTTTTTCCTGATAATAAGGAATAGGTACTTTTTCAATGACAGCTTTCTGGGTTCAACTTTGACATGTACATGTCATAGAGAAGTTGTAAGTTTACAATATCAAATCTTCAAATTAAGAGGCAAAGAGTAATATTATATATTTATCCCATAAAGCAAGTTTTTATCCCACCGAACAAAGTTCGAGAGGGATATAGGAAAGCCGTCCGTCCGTCCGTCCGTTCGTCCGTCCGTCCGTCTGTTTGTCCGGGCGATAACTCAAATAGCGTTTCACGGATTTGATTCAAATTTTATAGGCTTATGCCTTATGGGTGTAGGACCTCTGCTCGAGAAGGAATTTTCAATATGGCCACTGAATTCAAAATAGACGCCATTTTTCGTAAAAAATGTAATCTTTAATAACTCAAATACTAGTTTGCGGATTTGATTCAAATTTTATATGCTGATGCCTTCAAACAAAGGAGTTTCGAACAAAAAGAGATTTTCAAGATGGCCTCTTAATTTCAAAATGGCGGCCATTTTTCGTAAAAATATGTAATCTTTGATAACTCAAATACCAGTGAACGGATTTGGTTCAAATTTTATATGATGATGCTTAGGGACACAGTAGCTATGTTCGACAAAACATTTTCAAGATGGCCGCTTAATTTCAAAATGGCGACAATTTTTCGTAAAAAACGTGATCTTTGATAACTCAAATACCAGTGAACAGATTTGATTGAAATTTTATATGATTATGCCTAAGGACACAGTAGCTCTGTTCAAGAAATAATTTTTTTCAAGATGGCGGCTGAATTTCAAGATGGTGGCCCATAGTCGTAAAAAACTTAATCTTTGATAACTCGTATACCAGTGAACGGATTTGGTTCAAATTTTATATGATGATGCCTAGTTCACAATGGTATAAACTAACTTTGTGCCAAATTTCATGCTTCTATCTCAAAGTGCACAAACATTTCAACATTTACACTAGCTATAATAAGCATAATATGTTTTGTTTGGTGGGATTTGCTACTCCGTGGAGTTGCTGTTTTTCTAGTTTCAGTACTTTTCCACTCCGACTTAGAGACAGATACTTCATTGATACGGCATATAACATTACATGATCGCATCAGATTAAACTTTTATTTCAGTATTTCCCAGATATGAGAGTGACAGTTGTTCTTTTTTCAGTAACGTAAATGTGTTTAACCATTGGTACACTCTTACTAGGGTAATCTTCTTGTTTACAATAACAGATAGCTTTGATCAAAGTAAGAAATTGTGAAACAAACAACAAATATTTAATTCAGCAGTTACTCTCATATGTATATTTGGCCAAGAGTCTGAACTATCTGAGATGAATCATATAAACGCAGGAGTACCTCAAGGCTCCATATTAGGCCCCCTCCTGTTTCTAATTTATATCAATGATTTACCTGATAACTTAAATACCAAATGTTTTATATATGCAGACGACACGTCACTTTACCAATCCTTCACAGCTGAAACAGCAGCTGATAAGAATAATGAATTACAAGAGGATCTAAATAAAATTCTCTTATGGTCAAATACATGGAAATTAAACTTCAAAGCTAGTAAAAGTAAAGATATGACTTTTTTTAATCCAAGAAAGCGCGAAATTTTGACCCCAGATCTTTCCCTTGGTAATGACAAGTTACCAAGAGTAAACAATCACAAGCACTTGGGCTTGATTTTGGACAAAAATCTCACTTTTGACTATCACATTACTGAACTTGTAGCAAGAATAGATAAACTCATAAATCCGTTAAAAGTCTTCAGTAAGAAAATAAGTGGAAAACACCTTGAAACAATTTTTAATTCTTTTATTTTGCCACTCTTTGATTATTGTGACATTCTTTACGGATGTGCAAATTTGACAAAACTACAACTTTTAGACCGCCTTTACTATAAAGCTGCAATTATTTGTTCAGGTGCCATGCATGGAACATCAGCCACAAAAGTGTTGAATACTTTAAATTGGCCCACACTCTCAAATAGACGTCAATATCATAGAGCTACCTTTATGTATAGAGCTCACAACAACTTGCTGCCTTCTTATGTCACTGAGATATTTGAACCACTTAAAAGAAATCAAACACATGAACTAAGACACCAACTTGACTATATTTTACCAGTTAAATACAAATTTTATGAAAGATCTTGTATCTCAAAAACAATATCAGAATGGAATCTACTCTCATCTGATATAAAGAACTCATCTAGCTTAAGCATATTTAAATCAAGCCTTAAAAGCAATATCTTTAACGAAACTGTTATTAACTCATCAGAATTGTCCATCTCAAGAAATCAAGAAATTATATTTAACAGAGTACGATGTGATTTCATTTTCAAGGCTCACCTTTACTCGCATAACTTTACCAATGTAAATTCCCCAATCTGCTCATGTGGTATTAACAGTGAAACAACCAGCCATGTGATTTTTCGATGTAACTTGAGATTAACATTCTGGACTGAATTAGAAAACCAACTAAAAAATATGAATATACAATACTCCCGTAAATATAAGACACAGCGTGATAAACTTTCTCTGATCCTGAATGGTGATAAAACATTAAGTAGAGCAGAGAATCTGATTGTTTTAAAGTGCAGTGCAATTTTCTTCGAGCGATGTGTAAATGTTTGAAATCCTCCACAAAACAATTTTTATCTTATTGTATCTCATTTATTTTAATCAATAGTATTGATTGAATACATTGTATATTGTAATTGTAGAACGTGGCTAATAATGCTAAAAGCACAGCCACTCACACTGTATTTTTGTATTGTATTCTTTGTACAAATGAATAACTTAATAAAAATAAAATAAAAAAATATGTATATATCCTAAATGAAAAGATGAAGTTGTACATTCAGATTGCATAATGTTTCTGACACAATTGAAAGAACATCAAGAACTGTATCACATCGATAGTTCATTTCTCAAAATAGTGAAATTAGTGGTTTTAAAAATTCAGTTATCTAACTATGGACAAATTCAAAATAATACATGTAATGAACAGTAGTTTATTTCTATCGGAAAATGAATATACATATACAGTGTGTTTCATGGTGACTGGCTCCTTATTGATAATGTGTTTTGTATCATATGGAAGCTTGTTCATCAATTACGAATCCGCATACCTCCATGTGTTATATTTATATATCATATGAAAGCTTGTTCATCTATAACGAATCTGCATACCTCCATGTGTTATATATCATATGAAAGCTTGTTCATCAATTACAAATCTGCATACCTCCATGTGTTATATTTATATATCATATGAAAGCTTGTTCATCTATAACGAATCTGCATACCTCCATGTGTAATATATCATGTGAAAGCTTGTTCATCAATTAAGAATCTGCATCCCTCTATGTGTTATATATCATATGAAAGCTTGTTCATCAATTATGAATCCCCATACCTCCATGTGTTATATATCATATGAAACCTTGTTCATCAATTAAGAATCTGCAAACCTCCATATGTTATACAGGGTGGTCCAAAAAAAGTGAACCCCTGCAACAGGCTATATTTTTCTTAATACATGCATGAATTGGCTCATATTATCACATATTGTAGAGAAAGGTCTAAAATTTTGGTTGATGCCATAATTTATTCTCAGTCTTAAATTTTGAAGAAATTACAAGCGTTAAACAAACATGCCTGGAAATTAGATATTGTACAAAATTTTACAAATATGATTCACGGAAATTGTTGAAACACATTGGATGATTTGACACAGCTTTCAGTTAGAGATACAAGTTTAAAACCCTGCCATATGACAAAAGGGACACTATTCAAGCAGAAAACACATTTCACACTTTCATTGATCATTTTGAAGCATTTTAAACTGTTCAACAGTTCAGGGGTATGCTACCTACACCAACAGTTAGAGGGGGGGCTCTTATGGAAGGAAGTTGCCCCCTGTGACCAGGAATCTGATAACTCCTTCATCAAATATCTTTAAAAAATCAAAAGAAAATTCAATATTCAATGTTTTGAGCCATATATCATTAGAATTGGTCCATGATTTATGAAGATATTGACATTTCAAGATCATATAGGGGTATGTTCATGAATTCACTGGAAAATGTTTTCGTCTGTGGAAGCTTAGCACATCTCTTTGGATCACAATAACTTTGCAACTAACAAATGTAGAATGCTAGTTTTAAGCCATAATGTGCAGGATTTGAAATTGAACAAAGTCATGTCAGAAAATATTAGTTCTTTAAGACTGCAGCTTAAAAATTTCTCAGGGGAGAGGTGTTAAAGGGTTGAAGAATCGCGGATATTGAAAATCACAATTTGTCCATTTTCAGTAATGTTTGGTTAGAGCTTATAATTTCTGCAAATTTCAAGACTAAGAAAAATGTATGGTACCAACATAAATTTTAGACCTTCCTCTACAACATGTGAAAATAAAAAAGAATTCCTGCAAGTAATAAGGGAAATATAGCCAGTTGCAGGGGTTCACTTTTTTTTGGACCACCCTGTATATCATATGAAAGCTTGTTCATCAATTAGGAATCCGCATACCTTCATGTGTTATATACCATATGTAAGCTTCAGGACTTATTAAAACAGGTCAGTAGCTTTCTACTTGCTTGCTACATATCACAACAAAAAGTGTCCATTTGATCTATGGCATACAATTTGAACAGCAATGTTTTCTAGAAAATTAGCCATGTGCCCTGTTAAAACCGATGATAATCAAGGCTGAGAACAGTATTATCTCCAGTAATGTAGCCTACTACTTATAGCATTTGATGGATGCTGGGGATATATTTTAATGATATTTGAAAGAAAAAAATATTTCAAACAACTACAAAGAAGGCTCTGAATGATACAATGGATTGTATTACTATCTGCTTACAAATGAAAGCCATAAATTCACAAATTATGTTTTCAATGATCAATCGTGCCAATATTCAACCCATAAGTCCAGAATTGGAAGCTTTATAATGATATATAGATTGAGGTATGTGATTTAGGATTGGCTGTGGATAGGGGATAGTCAGTATGAAACACCCTGTACTCGTATATGCAAGATTTCTCATGTGGGTTTAGGTCTATGTATCACATAGACACTATAATGTATGAACCCATTTATGATGAATCAGTGCAGTTCTGCTTTTAAACCTGTTTATACATATAGAACATTTAAAAGGCTTGTTTCCAGTATGAACTTTTGAGTGTTTCATCATTTTTGATTGTCGATAAAATTTCCTTGGGCAATTGTTACACTGGAAGCGTTTAGATCCATTGTGTAGTTTGGCTATATGTTGTCTGACACGCTGTTTTGAATTAAACCGTTCATGACATAACGAACATTGATAAAATGTTTTCTTCCTAATATGGACGCGCTCATTGTGTTCTTTAAGTAAATATTTTCCTTTAAATGATTTTGTACATTTGGCACAGTCATATACATACTCCAGCTCTGCGGTATGAATCAATAAATGCTTGGTTAGGTTTGATTTTCGGCGAAATGCCCTCACGCAACATGGGCATTTGTGTTGTTTTAATCCAATATGTACATTCTTTCTATGTTTTGTGGCCTCAGATTTAGTTTCATATCTTTCGAGGCAGATGTCACATTTGAACTTTTTCTTGAGAATATCCAGTGCATATTTGCCAGCATGTTCTTCTGAAATAGATGAAAGAAGCGCTTTAATGTTAGATTGCTATAGGGATGGAGTCCAATTATTAGCTGTGGAATAAAGAAGTCGGTTTTGTTAGCAGGAGGGGGTAAATGATAGTGTTCATTTTTTAAGTGAAAAACAAACCAACGTTTTGAAATTAGATGAGGAGAGGGGGAGGGGTCAAACCATAATGAAATTAACTTTGTTTTTTAAAAACTGTTGATAATTGGACAACATTCTTCAATAATATTAGAATCACAAATGGTATTTTTTTTATTTAAAATTTAATTAAGAATTGCCAGATATGTATTAATTGCCAGTTATCATACATGTGCAAATTTAAAAAAATTCTGCAATTTTTCAAAATGACAATTCAAACAATTTCCTTCATGTTGACTGTTGTTTAAATTTAAAATCCCATAACCAAACCAGAATAGAAGGGGAAATCCAACAACTAATTTCTAGGAAAAAGCTGCTAATCACTTTAGCTTATACATGATGGAATGGAGATGGAATTTCATGGTAAAATTGTGCTTGTACGCAATAATGATTGCTTACTGGCAATAAACAGACAAATGGGTCTCGTTTATGGACCTCATATTCATATAAATTATGTTCCCAAATATTTAAATCAAGTACCCTTTGCATTCGTTTGACTTCACTTCTTAAAAGAGAGCTTCGTCTTCACTCTTTCAAACTGGAATAAACCTGTGAACTCACCGCGCCAATCAGTGTTCGTCGGCCAAATTTGACCGACGTTCTATATATGGTCATTCCTTCTGACGTCAGCATTGAGCCCGGAATTGACCAATGACATACGTATATTTAATTAGCACGCATTTGGTGTATGTTTCTTCAAGCTCGCTGATTGTTGGAAGAAAGGTCAGCGCGTAGGTCAGAGGGGATTTATTACCCAAACTGTCATCGGTACCCATCGTGGGGGCGGGGCTACTAAACTGTAATATGGTCTCTACTTGGCAGAGTGTAGTTTAACTAGACTCTGCGCGCAGGGTATAAATCAAGTAGGAGTCAAGAAATCTTGTGGATTGGGTCCAAAAAAGCTTATAGGAATGCTTATAAATGAATACATTGTTTTAATATAACATATGGTGCCAATCCTCCTTGGATGTAAACCGAACCCTCATTACTTTTCTTTGGAAAAATGAAGCAACTAGACTTGGAAAAGTCAGGATGACTTAACAAAAAGTAAACAATTGTCTTACCTATGATATTGTCACATCTGGTTAAATATATTTGAAGTTTTGGTTTTAAAGGGCCCTGTATTTTTTTTGTATAGTGACACCCGTCACATCTACTAAGCTTTATGTATGGCACATTGTATAGTTTGTCGTCCTTCAACCGTCTGTCACATCTTGTGAGTAGTACATATGGATTGTGGTAACGTACACATACTCGTCTATTGTTAACAATACATCGCTTCAACTTAATATACGGTGATTTTAGTCTAAGTTTTGTATTATTCTTCTGAGATACTTTTGAACATTCCACATCACATCGTCGTAACAACACATGGGCTGATTTTAAAGTCTTTAAATCACAGCGATTTAACAAAACTCGTGGTGATGTTTTAAAATGTTTTAAGTTAAGAAATGGTGATTGTTCTTTAGATTGTGTCTGGTTGGGAGATGTTTCCACATGGTTTTCTGATACATTAAAATGGTTTTCATATCTTGTAGGAATAACATTTGAAGGTGGAGGTTTTCTGATCATGTCATCACATCTCTGTACTATTACAAACAGTTCACTGTCTATGTGATTCATAATGAGGTTTAGTATTATCCAGTGAACTATGTAAAACAGGTATTTTGTTGTGGGTAGATAACTGTGGTAATAACCATATCCTCAATATGTGCTGTCATTTCCCTATACATTAAGACACTTCATAATGCAGTACAGCGTAGCTGGTATACAAAAGTAATTCTTAGTAGGTATATACATCTGATTATAGAAGTTTCATCAAGTCATCATCATATCTGTGCATTGAAACAGTTTTAATATACAGTTAAAACAGTATTTATACTGGTGTGCTAAAAGTGAGTTTAGTTGTTCTTGTTAACTGGTATTTTTGAGTTGTTCTAGTATAGGTGCAACTGCAAATCAGACACTATATATCCTATCCTGCACTTGTTTGTAATTCACTCCACTGAGCTGACATGTGTGTTCAATAACTTGCAATAAAGGCCTTACACATGCATTTATTTCACTTCATACTACATAACTACAATAATGTCAGTACTTTGTCTGTATTTATAACATACATTTACCATGTGTCTGTCTGTTTGCAGTACTATTTATGGACGAGCAATCTTTAAGTGCAGAGTTTAATTTGATATGACCTTTGTATACACACTTGTAATGTGTCCTGAGTCCATATATTAAATGACCAGTGTCTGCTTTTAGTGCTGTCCCCAGCTCCGATTTCGGTGATCGGCTAGTAAAAAAGGTTTGAGGGTATCATTTTGTTCTAGACACTTGCTAGAGTAAATTATCCTAACTTGAGTAAAAATGTGTGGTAAGTGAATTCGCTATGGGCAGCTAGAGAGGCGCCATCTATTCATTTTCAAACAGGGGGTAGGGGTATAAAATAATTTTTTATCACATTTTATAGTAAAATGACTTTGAAATACTAATAAAATCTTATCAAAAACATTATTTACAATCAGTATGAATTTTCTTGTGTGAATTAGGGTGAAAATAAGGGCATATTTTGAAATTCACTACAGGGGCACCACCTATTTTCGTACTTCTACCACATGTAATAAGTTATTTTAGATTCGTTAAGGTACGAAATGTACTGAAAAAATTCATTCTAAAGGACCTATATATGTTCATACCACATACTTAAAATTAGATCAATAGCTTTTGTACTGGCGGAGAAAAAAATTATTGAAATTTAAAATTGTGGCATCATGCAGGATAGGGGTGACCATATCTCACATGATTAACTTCCAAAATATGGAGCATATGTATCTCAAATGTACTCAAAATGGTGTATGTACTCTTGCTTTGTCATAATATTACTAATAAGAAGTAGAAAAATGATTGTACAATTTAAAAAAATATTAATTCTCATTTTGGCTTCTGACGTCCCTGGGGTGACCATATCTCACCTAAATAACTTCCAAAATATGTAGCATATGTATCTCAAATGTGCTCAAAATGGTGTATGTACTCTTGCTTTGTCATAATATTACTAATAAGAAGTAGAAAAATGATTGTACATTTTAAAAAATAATTAATTCTCATTTTGGCTTCTGACGTTCCAGGGGTGACCATATCTCACCTTAATAACTTCCAAAATATGGAGCATTTGTATCTCAAATGTGCTCAAAATGGTGTATGTACTCTTGCTTTGTCATAATATTATACTAATAAGAAGATTATACATTTAAAAATTTTAATTTTAGCTTCTGACGTCCCTCAATAACTTCTAAAATTATGTAACATATACAATTCAAATATACCAAAAATGGGGCATATGGTCTTGCTTTGTCATAATATTTTTCATGAGATGCAGAAAAAATTATTACACCTTTTTTGAATTGAAATTTTCATTTTAGCTTCCGAATCTGACATACCAGGGGCAACTATATCTCACCTTGATATAACTCTCATGATATGCAACATATGCATCTCAAATGCGTGCCCAAAATGGTATAAATATAGTCTTGTTTTGTCATATTTATTGAGATTCATGAAATCAGAAGTTCAAAATTTATGGATTGGACTGTCTCCCCTGCAGGCTTCAGCTACATATAGTCCAGAGACATTAAGATCTACTTTCAAATATTTGCATCTTCTCCCCAAACACTCCTTATATTACAGGAACAATGGACGATAAGTCTTTTGCATGCCTTGGATGCAACATCTTTTGTATACTGGTAGCCTATCAGTAGTGTGAGTAGCCTAGCCTCATTCACCAAAATTGGCCCCTTAACCCCAAATCTGACCCAAAATTTTGAAAATATCCTGAAAAATTAGGCCTAAAAGGTGCATTTATGCCCAAACATACACCAAACTGTCCCACTGCTAAATTACAAGGGCGATAAGTCGCTTCTAATCCTGATTGACATTCTCTAGTTTGCATGGTTTGTCATGTTGTGCTATATTGTTATTGCCCAATCTCAACAATTATATTCACTGCATGGCCTACCATGCCAAGAATAATGCAATTGTTCCAAAAGCTAAGCTTTTCTTTGGGACCCTAGAAGTGTGGGACATCACAATCATAGATTAATATTTCATTACAATCAATGTATGTTGTATGACAAACATGCAAACTAGAGAATGTTAATGTGGCTAGAAAGATTTATCATTACAAAGAGCTCCTTTTCCCGTATTTTACATACTCAAAATCCCTTAATTCAGTGTATAATCCAAGGTGCATATATTGCAGGCCACAGGATAACATATTAACACCTTACATTAGCAGTTGCCATTACTTCATGAATGGAGTAAAGTACTCCCACTATTGACAGGCTAAAAGGATTCCTGTATGGATTACAAAAGATGTTGGGTCCAAGGTATGCAAGGGAATAATCTCATCCATTGTACTTGTAAAGGGTGTTTGGGGAGCAGATGCAAATATTTGAAAGCAGATATAATTTGCCCTGAATTATATGTAGCTGTAGAGGAGACAGTCAAAATCCATTGATTCTGAACTGTTGATTTTATGATTCTAAATAAATATAAATATGACAAAACAAGACTATATTTATACCATTTTTGAGCACACATTTGAGATGCATATGTTGCATATCGTGAGAGTTATCAAGGTGAGATAGCCCCTGGGACACCAGAGGCTAAAATTAAAATTTATAAAAAATGCAATCATTTTTCTACATTTCATTAGTAATATGAAAAAGACAGGACTTTTCTGAGAATATTGAGGATTATATGTTACATATCTTAGAAGTTATTATTAGACTCCAGATTGAAAATCTGGAGTCTATTGCTTTTGCCAGTTTTCTTTTTATTATTATTTTTCTTTCCGAACCAGTTTTCTCAGCAACTAGAAGACTTTACTCAAATCTACTTACAGGGTCAGTAAGGAGATGAGACCTAGTTTCTGGGAAATTAGGTCAAATTTTTATCTAGGTCAAAGGTCAAAATCTAGGTCAAATTATTATTTTGTCAATTATCTTTGTCATTTTTCAATATTTTTTCAAAATTTTTTTTTTAACGTGTAGCCAAGAAAAAGACGGTTCGACTGTGTGTAATCAGTTTTTTGATTACTTCTACCGATTTTGAGATATTGCGTCCGGAAAGTAGGTCAAACGAAAAAGTTCTCCAAATTCAACGTATGAGTCATGAAATAAGTGTAAAATTTCCTCAGGAATCCAAATCTGCAAACCAAATTTTAATCTGACTTCCGGTTCGGAAGCTATAGCGTTTTGAAATCGCTAAATTTGGTGCCCATGTTAAGCCAATGGGAAAACAGACTTTTTCGAAGTGTAACATACAAGATATAGACTGAGCACAGCTTAACATAATGAATGCCTATGAAAGAAGGGGACATCAAAAGCTACCTAGCTTCAAAATTTGGACACCAAAATGCCTAGGTCAAAATATAGGTCAAATTCATAGTTTTTCCTTATTTTTACGATTCTGACACTACACTTTAATAATTTTCTTCAAAATTTTGTATACAGGTAGCCAAAAGTGTGCTTATAGTGTTAGCCTTTTGCCGTCAGAAAGTATTTCTACCCACTTTTGAGATATAGTGTCCGAAAAGTAGGTCAACATGAACGGTTCTCCAAATTTAACATATGAGTTATGAATTAAGGGTAGAATTTTCTCAGGAATCCAAATCTGCAAATCAAATTTCAATCCGACTTTCGGTCCAGAAGTTATGGCGTTTTGAAAGCTCAAAAATCGCTAAATTTGGTACCCCATGTTATGTCAATGAGAAAAAAGATTTTTTTGAAGTGTAAAATACCAGATATAGACTGAGTACAGCTTAACATTCTTAAAGCCTATAAAAGGAGGGGACCTCGAAGGGTATCTAGCTTTAAAATTTGGACACCAAAATGCCTAGGTCAAAATCTGGGTCAAATTCATAGTTTTTCCTTATTTTTGCGATTCTGACATTACACTTTAACGATTTGCTTCAAAATTTTGTATACAGGTAGCAAAGAGTGTGCTAATAGTGTTAGCCTTTTGCCATCAGAAAGTATTTTGACCCACATTTGAGATATGGTGTCCGAAATGTGCGTCAAAATAAAAAGTTCTCCAAATTCAACGTATGAGTTATGAATTAAGGGTAGAATTTTCTCAGGAATCAGAATCTTTAAACAAAATTTCGTTCCAACTTCTGGTTAGATAGTTATAGCGGTTTGAAGTCTCAAAAAGTCGATATGATGATATCCCCATGTTAAGCCAATGGAGTCGAAGATAACCTACTTAAGAGTTGCCTAAATGTCTATATTCTAGATGACTCAGCTTATTCCGAATGACTCAGTTTATTCCGAATGACTCAGCTTACAGTATTTTGGATGACTCAGCTTAAAAAAAAATCTGGAGTCTTAAATTGAACTTGTTCAATTTACATGTCTAGTTATTATTATTATTATTATTAGACTCCAGATGAAATCTGGAGTCTATTGTTTTCGTCAGTTTTCTTATTCTTATTCTTATTATTCTTATTATTATTATTCTAAACCAGTTTTCTCAATAACCATAATTTTTTTTAGTAAAGTCAGTCATTTGGTCAATTTAGGTCCAGAATCTAGTTCCTCGGAAATTGGGTCAAATTTTTATCTAGGTCAAAGGTCAAGAACTAGGTCAAATCCAGTACTTTGTCACTTTTTTCGATTTTCTCGGTCGTCCTTTAATATTTTCGATCCGGGTTTTTTTCATTGTGTTCCTTATAAAAAAGTAGAAAACCTAGGGTCGATTTAGTTTTTTGATATCTCAAACCGATTTCGAGATATCAGTGTCCGAAAACGAGGTCCAAAAAAAGGTTCTCCGAATCAAATGTCCAGGATATTAGTCTTATAGGAAATTTTCTCAGGATTCCGAATCTGAAAACCAAATTTCGATCCGACTTCCGATTCGGAAGTTATGGCGTTTTGAAAACTCAAAAATCGCTAAATTTGGTGCCCATGTTAAGTCAATGGGAAAAAATATTTTTTTGAAGTGAAAAATACGGAATATAGACTGAGTTCAGCTTCATATAATCAAAGCCTTGAAAAGAAGGGTCCTCAAAAGCCATCTAGCTTCAAAATTTGAACACCGAAATGCCTAGGTCAAAATCTAGGTCAAATTCATAGGTTTTCCTTATTTTTTCGATTCTGACACTACACTTTAATTATATTCTTCGAAATTGTGTATACATGTAGCCAAGAATATGCTAATAGTGTTAGCCTT